TAATTAATCTGGCTGAACTTTACACAAATAATCAGGCTAACTATAATAATACCAAAACTTATTTTGCAAATAAATGTGTCCTACTATGATATGTCTTAAATAAAAATGAAAACTAAGGAGCGAAACATTATATTTCAGAAAAATACTATAGCACACTTGTTGTTAGATTCTGGTCTTGTCCATTGTTTTTGAGCTTTTTATTATTTTCTGCACTTTGGACTGAATCCTGAAATCTCTCAGAGCTAAAGTCCTCAAACTAATACATCCACATTTTTCTTCCACTTTTCTGACCTGGACTCAATGAAATGGCTACGACCTTCTTCCGGAGGCCCTGCATGCTGAAGCTTATCCCTGGAGATACAGATAAAAAATACGTGAGATTGTCATCGCTATCCTCCTTTGCAACTTAAAAATGCTTTGAATCTGACATCTGGATACATTGTGCCCAACATCAACCTTTGTTATTATTTTCTATTTCCATACAAATGCCTGTTATTAAAAATATTTTTTGCCTTAATCACATAAGGGAGCCTACTTCATTTGCAGTGACACCTGGAATGAAACACAGCTAGGATATATTCTGAGAACTAGGAAACTAACTAAAAAGATATGAGATGGTATATTTAAATTTGCTCTTTCCTGTTTATCCCAATTTGTCTTTCTAACAACCTCTGACCCAAATCTCTCTTGACTATTGACCCCATGTCTGATTGGTTCTTAGGGCTATTCACTCTAATCCTTCAGGGATTTAGACGAATTACATAAGGACTTCTGAAGCTAGGACTTCCACTCCTTATATTAGGACCCATTATCCTAGAGTTTGCTGTTCACTTAAGTGCTGTACTAAAACTGTGGATGACAGTACTAACATCAGCCATGCAAGCCTAGGAACCCCAACCAGGCATCTGCGAATACATGCAGACAGCTACAAAGCAGTTTCATTCCACTTACTCTGGGGCCAAACCCTATCTCAAGTATACCCCTTGTCAGCAGAAAGAAGTTAGAATGGTCTTTGGCCTTTTCCCAACTCTGTACCTCACGCCTTAAGAATAAGATGCAATGAAACTCAGAAGGGGAAATTGAAATCCCATTTACAAAAACAGTAATTGAGAAAATTATGACAGGGAGAGAGATATAACCTAAGTGACTTCATCTTGCATTCAACCTCCAAGCGGCCCTTGATTATTCCTGGGCAAAAACAAAACCCACTTTGGAAGAAATTTACTTTGTAGCTTAATTTTGAAACAAAGATAATAACAGCTCCTCCCTGAAACAAAACCACTCATTGTTTAGGGACCACAATCACCTTTGTAAAACTAACAAATTAACCACCGTATTAGAAAGCATGGCTCCGGAGTCATACAATCAGAGGCCACAAGATTAATAAACTCCCCAATGGCTCCTATACATAACATTACTATTGTAAAACCTAAGATTGGTGTTTGAGGTATTTCTCATAACTTGCATTCTGAGAGATCAGCGGGTGCCACCCAAACCAGTAAACTGGCTCATCTGGATATGTGGCCCCCACCCAGGAGCTGAGTCAGCAAAGAAGACGGCTTTGACTTCCTAAGAGTTCATCCCTGACCCAACCAATCAGCATGTCCCTTTCTCTAACCCCCCTGCCCACAAAACTATCTATAAAAACTCTAGTTTCTGAGTATTTGGAGAAGCAGTTTTGAGTAATATGAAAACTCTGCTCTCTCTTTTAGCTGGCTCTACATGTATAAAATTTTCTCCATAGTAATTCCCTTATCTTGGTAAAGTGGCTTTCTCTGGGCAGCAGCCAACATGAACCCAGTGGGCATTAACAATCCAACGGCCAAATGTTGTATCAAGAAAACTTGTTTTGATTTCATGGGCTGACAGAGGAGACTTTAGATTTTTGCCGAATTTTCTATCAAGAAATCTTGTTTTGATTTCATGGGCTGACAGAGGAGACTTTAGATTTTAGAACTTTCTGTTGGTGCTGGAACAATTTAAGCCTTGGAACTACAGGAATGAAATAAAACTTTTGTGACAGGGTGTGATTTTTAGAGAGTCAGAAGTGCAGTGCTAGGGATGGAATATAGCTTCTTTTCCGAATTTATGCTGAAATTTCATCCCTAACATGGCAGTGTTGAATTGTGAGGCCTTTAAAAGGTGATTGGATCATGAAGAGTCTGACCCCATAAGTGAATTAATCCCTTCATGGATCAATACATTAATATTTAAAGATTAATAGTCTATTATGAGAGAAGAGTGGCTTATAAGAGGGGAGACATGATCTTGCATGTCAGCAAGCGCTACTCCATTGCCATATGACACCCTGTAGACTTCAGAACTCTTCAGAGAGTCCCAACCAGCAACAGGATGTCGCCCATACAACCTGCCAACCTTGGACTTTTCAGTCTCCATAACTGTATGAAATACATGTGTTTTCTTTATCAACTACCCAGTTTCGGGTATTCTGTTATCAGTAACAGAAAATGGACTAAAACAAAGTCTTAGTATTACCTATTCCCTGTTATTAAGTTCAATGGATTATTACAACCATTCCAGACAAGAATACAACTGCTCCAGATGTTTCAGGAATGAAGGTTTGCATCACCCTGCCTGGTAAAGACCCAGGACCAGCAAAGGGGCTTGCTGAAGACAAAGAGAATACAGAATGGGTAGCAGTAGAAGGGAGTTATAAATACCAGACAGGGCCAGGCACAGTGGCTCACGCCTGTAATCCCAGCACTCTGGGAGGCTGAGGCAGGTGGATCACAAGGTCAGGAGATCAAGACCATCCTGGCTAACACAGTGAAACCCCGTCTCTACTAAAAATACAAAAAATGAGCCAGGCGTGGTGGCGGGTGCCTGTAGTCCCAGCTACTCAGCAGGCTGAGGCAGAAGAATGGTGTGAACCAGGGAGGCGGAGCTTGCAGTGAGCCGAGATCATGTCACTGCACTTCAGCCTGGGAGACAGAGTGAGATTCTGTGTCAAAAAATAAAAAATAAAAAATAAATGATAAAATAAATAGATGCATACATACCAGACAGCACCAGGTGACCAGTTACAGAAACAAGGATTAAAATTGTCACTAGTATTTCCTATCTACTTTGTTAAGAACATATTTGCATGTTATATATTAATATATTTGGCAAATAACGTTTTTATTTCCCTCTTCTTCTTTTATCACAAAACACAAGAATGTGTTCAATTGATACTAACAGTTAAGTGTTAGCAATTTAACATACTTGTATTGAAATTATGGGGTATCAGAAGAAGAGTAAACATCACCCACAAACTTCCACTGCTCTTAAGACAAATAGTATAGTGTGTTTTGGTTGCACAGAGGATGGTTGCATCATGTTAGGTAGAAGTATTGCCTTGTTATTGTCTGTATCTAAAGGTTAGTTATGGCTTGAGGTGATACATATAGGTGCCAACTAGAAAGGTGCTGGACTTGTCATGGTTAATTTAAGGTGCTGACTGGATTAAAGAATACCTAGAGAATTGGTAAATTATACTTCTGGGTGTTTCTGCCAGGGTGTTTCCAGAGGAGGTTGGTATGAGTCAGGGAATTTAGAGGGAAAAATCCACCCTCAATGAGGGAAGGCAGCATACAATCTCCTTGGGGACCAAATAGAACCAAAAACGAAAAAATTTTAAAAGTTTTCCGGTCTCTCTCCAGGAGAAAGTATACTCCGTTTCCTGTCCTTGGAAAATACAACTCCATGAACTATGACCTTGAAACTCCAGAACTTATACCAGTAAGTGTCCTGGATTCTCAGGCCATTGGTCCCAAACTGAGAATTACACCAAGAGCTTCCCTGGTTCTGAAGATTTCAGCTTTGGACTGAGCCATCACGCTACAGCATCCAAGGTCCTTAAACTCGCAGATGGCTGTCTTGGGAATTCTCCGACTCTACAATGTTACACGAGTAAATCCCCAAACAAAATGCCATTCATCTAACTATTGTCTATCTATCAACTCTCCATCTACGCATCTATCTACCTACCTACCTACCTATCTATCTCCCTGTAGAAAAAAAAAAAAACTGACAAATACACCCATAAAGACTTCAGACAAATGGCGCAATAGCATGTCTTTCTCTATTCCTCCTCAATCACCCCTGCTGCTTATGAGTGTGTGGCCTGGAGAGCTCTTCATTTTCATTGGTACTTCAAGGAATGCTGGCCTCTTCTTACTGGGATTGGTTAGTAATACATTACTAACACCATTATACACATTGTGTTGAGTTGCCTCCTCTGTATTTCACTTGACGAACACACATGGACATCACTTTTCTCCCACTTAGCACTCTCCTAAAGAGTGGTTACCTTGGTAGAAATAAACTAGACACAGGTCAGACAGGATCCACAGGGTGTCTCACAGTATAAACAAGTACTCTCTGAGAAAGATACCCGGATGTAAGCTGGACAGTTCGGCTTTAGGCCATCGATCAGGATAAGCAAGCATCCCATGAAAGGCACAGCCAGTACCAAACCCTGAGTCGTACTGGGCAAGGCTATAGGTTATATCCACCGTCCAGAGAGGCCTTAGAGAAAACATAAGTAAAAATAAAATACATGCTGTGTGATAATTTTACAAACTATAGTTCCAGGAATCCTTGAGAGGGAAAGTAAAAATGGCAAAGCATTATTTGAAAGTTTGGGCTGGAGTCGTAGCTCTCCAAAGATAAAGAAAAATTTCAGGCCTGGTGCAGTGGCTCACACCTGTAATCCCAGCACTTTGGGAGGCCGAGGCAGGTAGGCCATGAGGTCAGGAGATCGAGACCATCCTGTTTAACACGGTGAAACCCCGTTTCTACCAAAACCAAAACAATTAGCCGGGCGTGGTGGCAGGCACCTGCAGTCCCAGCTACTCGGGAGGTTGAGGCAGGAGAATGGCATGAACCTGGGAGGTGGAGGTTTCAGTGAGCTGAGATCGCACCACTGCACTCTAGCCTGGGTGACAGAGTGGGACTCCAATTCAAAACAAACAAACAAACAAACAAACAAAAAACTCTATCTAAAGGATTTGAGCCCTAATAATAGAAATGTAAACAATGATCTCTGTAACTTATTTATGTATTAATTTAATTAATTTATTTAACGGGGATTCACTATGTTGCCCAGGCTGGAGTGCATGGTTATTCACTGGCACAATCATAGCACACTACACAGACTCAGACTCCTGGTATCACATGATCATCCTAACAACCCTCCCTAGCAGCTGGGACTGACTACAGGGGTATGCCATCACTCTTGCACAGATACGATTTTTAAATCAAGAAAGTTGCATTTCTTTTTCTTCTTTCCCATAGTCATTCTAATCATGTGAAGAATGATCATACAAATCATTTTATGATTAGTAACTGAAGATGTAGATGCATTATGGTTTTCATACAATCTTTTATGCTGTCCACTTGTTACTTGGATCAACTTGAGTTTTGGATACTTGAGAAGAAGAATGGACTTTAGTGTTCCCTGAAGAATAGAGTGAGTAAAATAGAAACTCATCTCATTTATATTTTATAATGTTATTGCATTTGTACCATGAGTTAAAACTCCATGAAAGCTTAATTAAGTTAAGAGGAAGACCTGATCTCAAATATATGAGCCATGTCTACACTTCTATTTATTTTGAAATAATTTTAGATTTATAGAGAGTTGTTAAAATCTTACAAAATTTGGATATACCCTTCAATTTCCTGCAACATTAATATCATACACATAACCATAGACTATCTGTGAAAACTCACAAACTGACAAAGGCACAAAACTATTAACTAAAGTACTGACTGTCTTCATATTTTACCAGGTTTTCCACTAATGCCATTTTTCATTTTTTTGGATCTAATCAAGGATAACATACTATGTTTACCATCAAGTGTATTATTGTTTATTGCAGCATAGCCAATTACCTCATAGCTTAGTGGCTCAAAAGCATACACAAATTACTCACAGTTTCTCTGGGTCAGGAATCTACATGTAGATGACTGCAAAGGCTGAGGTCTCACCTGAAGGATCAGCTGGGGAGGAATCATCTTCTAAGTTCATGTGATTGACCAGGTTGAGAAGATTACACTGATGAATTATTCCAAACCTTTAAAATAACAACAGCAATTTTTTACTAACTGTTCTCCAAAAAAATAAAATAACAGAGAAGAGATCAGTGTGCAGTGTGTCCTATAAGGCAGTTTTCTCTGAGGTAACAACCAGACAAAGACAATCCAAAAAATGAAAACTATAAACTAATATGCTTTACGGATAGCTAGGCAATAATTCTCAAGGAAATAGTTTCAACACAAATCAGGATTGTAAAACAGAATTAAACACTAATTTATTTATTTACTCAGGATCATAAGTTTGGTAAAACATATAAAAAGAATTAGTGTAATAACTATATTAATATAACAACAAAATTTTCATTATCACATCTAAAAGTATGGAATAAGCACTTTCCAATTCAAAAACCCATTCACAGTAAAAACACTAAACAAATTTTGCATAAAGGGAATGTTCTTCCCTAAAACAGGCACCTATGAAAAATTCACATGAAAACACATGGTATCAAGTAGGTCTCAGTAATATTCCCAAAATTATAAACACAAAAGTTTACCTATTCCCACTAATTCAACTAAACCTTATGCTCGAGGACATAATTTATAAAAGTAGGATAGAAAAATAAATATAAGACTTCCAAATTGAAAGGGAAGAAGTCAAACAATCTGTTGGCCAGTGACATAACCTAATATATAGAAAATCCTAAAATATTCACTAAAATAACATTGAAACAAAAACAAAATTCAGTATGCATGATCAATGTAATAAATTGCATTCCTATACAATGGAAACTAATCAAATAATGACTCTCAAAATAATTTCATGTAACATGGCATCAAAAAGAAAATATATTTGAAAATAACATAATAACTGCAAGATATATATACTGAAAATTACAAATAATATTGAAGTCTTAAAGAAATCCTAAATAAATGAATACAAGAATTAGTGTAATATACTATATAAACTAGTTTTTCATTGATCAGAAAGCTATTAAGTATTAACCAGGATGCTTATACTTTCTAAATACATCTTCAGATTCAATACAAGCCCTACTAAAATTCTAATTTTTTTTCATTTTTAGCAGTTCTTGGACCACTGATTCTAAAACACACAGAAAAATGCAAGTGATCCAGAACAGCCCAAAGAATGTTAAATGTTTTTTACAGAAACTCAAATGATGTTTATAGAAAGTCTGCCCATAGGGAAATGGGGCATAATTTCCTACTTTCTATGTATGCGCTGGGCATAGTGATGTTTTTTCCAAAAGGTACAACATGAAAAGAGGAATAATATTAATTTTATAGTGAAGAAAACTGAGCTAAACTGCCTCATCCATGGGATCAAATAACATTAACCATGATAAAGCAGCTGGGTACAGCGGCTCACACCTGTAATCCCAGCACTTTGGGAGCCTGAGGTGAGAGGAACGCTTGGGGCCAGGGCTTAGAGACCAGCCTGGGCAATGTCTTGAGTTTCTGCCTCCATAAAAGTAAAAGTAAAATGAAATCACCCAGATGTGGTGGCACATGCCTGCAGTCCCATCTACTCAAGACGCTGAGGTGGAAGATCATTCCAGCCGAAGAGTTCGAGGCTGCAGTGAGCTTTGTTCACGCCACTGCCCTCCAACCTGAGCAAGAGTGCGACCCATCTCAAAAAAAAGTGATAGAGCATGTTGATACTATGTACTCTTGTCACAGTATCATGAGAATAAAACCTTCCCTCTGTGGTTTTCCTCTGCTAAATCCACACCAGCCATCCAGTCATTAGGAAAACACCAGAGACATCCCAAAGGAGGGATTTCAATGACATCAGAAATAGGAAACATCTGAGAAACTGGCACAAGATACCTAAATGTCATGTGGTGTCCTGGGCGGAATCCTGGAACAGAATATGGACGTTACATGAAAACAGAACATCTGATTAATTGTGAATGTTGGTGAATGATAATGTATAATATTGGTTCACCAACTGCAACAAGTGTTTCAAATGAATGTAAGAATTTATAAAAGGGAAATTATGTGTTGAGTATATATAAACTCTCAGTATGTACTTCCAACTATTCTGTAAATCCAAAAGTATTGTAAAAAATATTTTAAAAAAACAAATAAATAGCCCGGGCGATGTGGCTCATGCCTGTAATCCCAACACTTTGGGAGGCTGAGGCGGGTGGATCACGAGGTCAAGACCATCCTGGCCAACATGGGGAACCCCGTCTCTACTAAAAAAACAAACATGAACCGGGCGTGGTGGCGGGCGGCTGTAGTCCCAGCTACTCGGGAGGCTGAGGCAGGAGAATCGCTTGAACCTGGGAGGCGGAGCTTGCAGTGAGCCGAGATTGTGCCACTGCACTCCAGCTTGGCAACAGTGGGAGATTCCATCTCAAACAAAACCCAAAAAACCAAAAAAACAAAACAAGCAAACAAAACAAATAAATAAAACATACATATTTTTTAAATTATACTACTGAGCTTACTAAGCAGAACACTGTCGATCTTGTAGTGTCCCAGGTGCTCACTTCCCTATTCCTACCCTTTTTGTTACCCTGGTGAACAGCACTATTATTTTTAATTTTCCTTTTTCCATTTGCAAACTTTTCTTTCTTAGTTTTGGTCTCTAAATCTGTATTTGTAAATAATGTCCTCTTCGCTGTTTCTTGTCTTCACAAATAGACAATTACATGTCTTTAACTATATGGCTCAGTAAAATCATGAGAAACATTCAGAGAAATCCAGATTCTGATACATTTTACAAATTATGTGACCTGTTTTCTCACAAAGGCCAAGATCAGCAAAGTAAGTGAGGACTGAGAACCTGTCTCAGATTAAGAAAGACCTGATGTTGGCAGGTGAGCGCTCAGATGGTGCGCAATGATCCTCACAGCTTGGTGTACATAACCCAATATTCTAATCCTTTCCTTTTGACTTTGCGGAGAAACCGAGACTTGCTTTGATACATCAGAAAACTACAATGTGATAGGACGTCACTTGAATAATCATGTTACCTAAGATTATGATTCCTGTCTTGCTGCAGGCTCTCTCCCATGGTGGCTTTGATGACACATTCTGCCATGGGAGAGAAGCCAACATAGGAAATAACTGAATGCAGCCTCTGGCCACAGACAGCAAAAAACTGAGGCTCCCGTTCCAGTATCCTGCCCTAGAGGTTGCAATTTATATTTACAACTAATCTAAGCTCCTTTCATATAAAATCATACTGCTTCAGAAGTAGTGTAACCATCTTATAATAGTTCTAACTATTTCTTCCTTTTTCCTGTATTTTTCTTTTGTCCCTCTTTTCCTGTCTTTCATTTTACTTAGAAGTGTGTATATATATCTTATACTTACAAAAATATAATTAAATAAATTGCTTCTTTTTTTTTTTTTTTGAAACAGAGTGTTGCTCTATCAGCCAGGCTGGGGTGCAGTGGTGCATTCTACGCTCACTACAACCTCTGCCTCCTGCATTCAACGATTTTCCTGCCTCAGCCTCCTGAGCAGCTGGGATTACAGATGTGTGTCACAACGTCCAGCTACATTTTGTATTTTTTTTAGTAGAGATGGGGTTTCACCATGTTGGCAAGGCTGGTCTCAAACTCCCCACCTCAGGTGATCCACCCACCTGGGCCTCCCAAACTGCTGTGATTGCAAGCCTGAACCACCGACTCAGCCTTGCTACTATTTTATTGAAAGGCACCTGTCTGCTATTGAATATAATTATTTTAAATAAGCTTTTATATGTAAGATCAACTAAGAATATGAAAATTATAAGCTTTTTTTAACTAATAAAAAAGTATGAAAAAAGTCTGAGATGCTAAGAAAGAATATTGAATTATATGAAATGCTGAATAAAAACCACAAAAAAAGGAAAATGAATGGAAGACAAAATTGGAAACAGGGGCAGCGCAAAAACGAGAAGACAGTAACAAACATGGTGAATATTGATCCAACTGTATCAATAATCACTTTGAATAAGTGTCAAAACCTAATTCAGAACAACCATAATCAGAATATCAAGATATGTGTGAGTTAATTTAGGAATTAATTTCAATATTGCTTTCATTTGTATATGAATGAAATGTAAATTTAAAACTCTAGACGAACTTTTTCAGTAAGTGTAAATAAGTCTACTATGTGTATAAGACTTTAGATAGAGATATTATTATTTGAGATCCTACTTAAGTCTTTGATTCATTGACATGCTGTGGATGTCCCCAACAAGACTACTACAGACATTACATATTCACCAATCTGACCTTCCCTTTAGTGATACAAAGGCCAGCTCGCTTGTCCATTTTTCTCTGTGAGTCTGGTGCACGTTGTTCCTTACTCAGCATCACACTGACAATTACATCCATATAGGCGGTGGTACAGTAATGATGGAGTAACTGCAGGAAGAATGAAACAAAATGTTGTGGTAAAACTTATGGGGATTGGACATGGCTTATCACATTTAAAAATGGATGATTCATCTGGAAGGATGGATTGCAAGACAGTGCACATCAAACAATGAAGGAAGTGACATCCAAGAGAGGCGAAACAATGAGGGTTTACTGTTGCTTCAGGTTACTGCTTGGGGAGAGTTTCCAGGCTGTGGTGTGACACGGACTCTGGAAGACAGTCGGAGTTGAGAAGATGGAACTGACTGGAGAAAGAGGTGGCTGAATTTCATGAGGCGGGAGCACTCAGGCCAATACCCATGCAGGCTGGAATGTGGTGCCATCATTACTCCACTCAGACGTGGTTCACAGGAGTACTGGAGCAGTACAGAAACAAAAAGCAAAGATACAAAGAAAAGTAATTTAAATGAATTCTTTAATAAAGAATAATTTACCTTTATGCTTTCATCTCATTTATGACTACAAGAACACAAAGTTTTCCATGACTCAGTAATCCTGCATCAAGTCCAAGGATGAAGGATATTTTTAGAAATCAAGTAAATGGTTTGTTAGGTAGATTTAGTGACCCTGTGTGGACACCAACCTGCCTTTCCTATGTTATGCTGCTAGTTGTGGCTGGTAAAATCACTACCTTATGAAATAATTAAAGTACAATTGTCTACTTATAAGAGAATATTTCTCACCAAAAGAGGAAGCCAATAAAGGTTTCTTCCTTAACTGATTTTCCTTAAAAAAATCTCCAGTTACCTTTGCACTTCAAAACTATTTTTTTCTCTTTTCGTCACTCCATGAATGCCGCAGGCTATGTAGTTTGCATGAAGTATAGGGTGGCTCTTTAGACACAGTGAAATTATGTTAAATTGTAACCCACTATAGCATTCTCCTAAAAATTACCTGTGTATTTTTTCTCTTTCTCACTGTTCACCTCTTGCTTAGCTCCTTAGAAAGGCAAATTTAACCTTTTCCTTCCTTCGTTTCCTCCAGTGAAACAGCCTGCAAGGACTGCCAGCTTATCTAAGTATGTTTCCTTAGAAATTCTAAGGACCAAATGTTGAATGGAAGCGGCACCATCCAGAATTCTCCCTCACAGGGAGACTGTCTCAAGACAAGAGTTAATCCACATTCCGATTCTGTCCTCAATGACACTGGTCAGATTAACGGATGACCTCTTAGCTAAGTTTTACAGCAAGTCACATAGACCCCGCACCTCCATGTTCCTTGCACGCCCTGCATATGAAAGTTTCTCTTCTTAAAACCCTGCTTTCATCCCAGAAAACCGAAGCGGCTCCTTTAGATACAAACCCGGTTCTTCTCCATTGCTAAACTGTGAAATAAAGTCACTTTCTTTTTACCACCCTCATGCTTGTTATTTGATAGTGTCAGTGACAAGTGGCCAAACCTGTGTTTGGTAACAAATTTGGTGGCCCATATGGGGAGCATTATGTGCTCTGGGCAACCCAAGCCTGTGAGCCTGGTTTTGCTACCAAGGCGGAGGGTTACCTGTGAGTACCTGCAGCTGAAGGCTAGCGGACCCCATGGGAGGAACGTTTGGGAACTTCCAAGTGGCTGCTGAAAATCTTTCATTTCCTAGACCCTCCCTTTCACTTCCTCGCACAACTTCTGCAGCCATCGACACTTTGCTGGTACAAAGAATGTGACCTCTGAAGAAGCTGGCAACCCTTGTAACCAAGGGAGCTGGTCGGATTGCACCCAGCTTTCCCGTGTCTTCTGGGGTGTCGCTGGGGCTCTGCTGTTTCGTCTTGTTCACTAACGGGACTATCATTTGAGTGTTTGACGGATTTGAATTTGTGGCACTCCTGGACATCGCTCCACTTGGTTTCAGATACCTGTGGAGCTGTTTTGAACAGAGGAAAGAAATTCAGGATTCTACCCAGCCCTTAACTGGGGTTTGTTTGGAAGCTCACCATTTGTTTCTAAGTGTGAGTGTATGACCTTTGAGTGTGGGCCCTGATCTCTTCCTATCTTTTTCACTTTCAACTTCATCTTCCTGATTATCTTGGAAGCCACCTACAGCCTTACTCATCTCAGTCAAAGGTACCCCTAGCTCTCTCCAGCTGTCAACAGTTTCCTTTGCCCATGACTTGCAGAGGTGGGAGGGATTTGTCTCACACTGTGCATGTCCAGGGTACTGGGGCTCTCCCTGATGGGATGTCAGCAAGAGTGGTGGGGATACCAACCCTATACCATGCAGCAGCTAGAAGGTTCACAAACCTCCTTTTCTATCTTTTTCTCTTTCCCTCCTTTTAAAGGAGCCAGATTTTAAACCTGGTTCCTCTGCAGAGGCCTGACAGGAAATTCGTATTCTCATTCTCTTCTGGATTTCAGCTGGCTACTTATTAAGACCTACTTTTGTGAACATTTTAAACAGAGAGGCAAACTATAGCAAGAAAACTTGAGAGCTCAAATGGTTAACTGCAGCTATTAAGTGAAGCAGAGTCATCAAAACCTCTTCCTCTGTTTTCTTTTCTGTCTGCTTCAGATTGGCTGTTACTAAGCTGTTGGTGCTGTGATAAGACACATTATTTACGGACTAATTAGAAAGTAAACAAAGGAAACTTGTTTAAAACTGAAGGAAAAAAAAAGGTAAAAGATGCTTTCTTAAAAACAAAGCTGCCATAAAGATTGCTTTACTCAAATTTTGGTTCACAGCTTTCATAGATTATATATTGGAGAAAACACAATTTAGCCATGGAAACAGGTTCCAGTTTTGTCAGACAATAACGTGTATCCAGCTATTTTTTATAAAATACTGAGTGTATACTGTTACTTTCCGGTTGGAACCCCAAGGTAAAAGCTATGAGACCTTTCCTTGTGTGTGTATACCTGTTTACACATGTTTGTATGTACATATGTAGACATGTTTGTGTGTATGTACATATGTAGATGTTTGTGTGTATGTACATATGTAGACATGTTTGTATGTACATATGTAGACGTGTTTGTGTATGTACATATGTAGATATGTATGTATGTACATATGTAGATGTGTATGTACATATGTAGACATGTTTGTGTGTATGTACATATGTAGGTATGTGTGTTATGTGTAGTCTGTTACTAAATTGACTTACAAGTAAATAAGCGCTCATAAATTAAGTCAGGCAGCTTTTCAATTTCACATAAATTTAACAATCCTTGACAAATAAAACTGGTTTTAAGATTATTGGTGACATAATATTAGAAATATCTTCAAAATGATCAGCATATTTTTATCTGAGTTCACTGAACAAATGGTTTTGTATTTATCTCTGTCTATATATTAAGGTGTCAGGATATGACATAAAGGCTATAGGACCATAAACCCAGCCAAAAACAGAATAATTTTTGTTTGTGTGATTTTATAGATGAGTTAGACTAATTTAATATTACTAGTTCAATGAAAACAGTTAAATCTTCTGTGCTATTAACAAAATGCACATATATTGAACTTTAAGGTTCTTAATTAGGTAAAACACCTTATGTCCACAGACTTTAAAAATGGGTTATAGGGACATAACTAAATAATTACTACTTTTGGGTAATATCCCAGTTTTCAAAAGTACTCTAGGTAAACTGTTAAAATGGAAAAACTGAGTACACGTCAACGAGATCAATGCTTCTAAGTGCAATTTTTGTATAATTTAAAATCTTAAAATCATTTTGGATGCTTACTGGATGTCTGGGTCAATTCCAATTAAGAAAGGGTTATTATATAGAGAAAACTGTTCTAAAAATTGTGAAATGTTTCTCATCTATACAATACTAATATCTGATAGTTCAGGATTTCTTTTTTCCTAGGTTTCTATAAAATGTGCCAAAGAAGAGGTGTCTTTATTCAGAAAAAGAATTATTTTGTCTAATTCAAAAGTTTTTTAAAAGTTGATTCAAATTATGAGTTTGAAAAGGTTATTTATGAAACAAACTAGAAAGGAAAGCAGTATATGGCGAAAAGAGATGTGAAGAAAGATATAGACAAGGGCATGTATTTTTGGTAAGGAAAGTTATCAAGAAAAAAGAGTAATTTTATATGAGAAAGAATCTTGCATGGTAAATTATTCTCCTAAAGGAAAATGACTGGTTATTTAAGCAACAGGTTCTTATTACAAGGTTAATCTAGAAAAAGAAAATTGAAAAAAATTTTAAAAAGGAATAGGTACCATAGGACAAGTGTACAGTCCAAGCATGTGACAGATGGTCTGTGTAAGTCACGACAAGGCTCGTGAAGGGGAATTTATAAAAGGAATTTTGTATGTAATCAAGTTAGGTATAATTCAAAAGGAATTGTTTATAACAGTCTTTCTAAAGAATGGTCCCCTATATTAAACCAATATTTTCTTAAGGTATCAATTTGCTCTTAATAAAATGACAAGAAATTTTGATTTTCTATTCCATAATCGATTTCTTTTGAAAACTTGTGAGATTCATATCTCAAATGTTCAATTGTTGTCCTGCTGCTATCAGCTTTTTCTCCCTTTGACATGTCCTGGGATAACTCTATCCTTCAGCTTCCTCTCAACTCCTGTAAATTTTCTTACTTCTAAATGTTGTGGCCTGATGCTAAAATATTTTATCTTAGAGGTCTATAAAAGCAGTGTTTTCCTCCAGGAGAACTTGATTCTAGACTCTTGGGTTGTGGTTTTTTGTTGTTGTTGTGGTTGTTGTTGTTTTGGTGTGTCTAAATTCTGTCATCAGGAAAGCTACCATGCAGCTACTAAGAGTCATCTATTCCCCAGTTCTACTCATAACTGTGTACACACTCTTCCCATGTTTGAATAAACTCAAGCACTTTTTATTATAAGTTGTACTTCCAGATCATCTCAACGGGCTTTCCCCTAAGGAGAGGCAGTCACACTAAAAAAGGTTTTCCTCTGACTTTTTGGTAACTGGCTTAAGAAACAAGATATCAAGATATCAAGATAGTTCCTACGTTGCCTTTATAAAGTGCTTATTTGCTTTTTAAGAACCTATGAAATTTGAAAGGAGTAAGATTTTTACATATGTGTAACTTTCTGTATTGCCTTTAAAGTCTGTCAATGATCACTTTGGTTAAATGAATAACTATTGTTTTACAAGGACCTGTAGTTTGCTTTTGATCAAGTATTATAAGGTTTCTAACATCTTTGACAGACATCTCCAAAATTGAATTCTAAATTAAGTCTCTGACTTATTGCTGGGGCTTATCAAAGCTAAAAAAATTAATCACTGTGAGGTGTATCACCACCTCCAACACCCTGAAAAAGTTCTTATCAGGTGCTATTAACTAATCTTTGTGGTGTTAAGGTACAAGGAATTGACTCCTGGATACATGTAGCTCCTCTAAAGAAGACAGACTCCTGCCAGCATCTAACATCTAACT